AAATTTAAAGCAAAAAAGACCAAAAGGATCTTCTTCAATGCAAAACGTTTTATAATGGCTTGTTGATATTGCCACATCAGCATTCCACCAACTTATTTAAACAAAAAAAAAAAAACCTCAAAAATAGCTGTTATAACAACAAGGATATAAAAAAAATCGTTTACTTTGTTATAAAAGATATTTTCCATCACTATTAACATCTAATAGATTATACAGATTGGCCGAAATATAAAAAATGTATAAAATGAAAGGTAACTGGAAGAGGGGTAGGGGTAAAAATGTAATTTTGATCAATTCTAAGAAGAAGATTAAAGTTAGTTGGACTCACAGGAGGAGCTCAACAAGACGTTGACAGACACCAGCCTCAATTACAGCTTGAATTTTGTCATTTGTGCCATCAGACAAATAAGAGAGAGCCCAGCATGCATCTGTCAACACCTCTTCATCATTTGAATGAACAAGTCTTTCCAATGCAGGAAGTGCTGGTTTTGTCTGCAAATTATATACACTTTTAGTAATCCCACCTCCCAAAATAGGGATAAATGCAAGAAACAGCAACATACGTTCATTTTGTTTATTTATTATAGGCTTTATACCATTCTTGTACTTTGAAAATTCTACCAAACTATAGCAATATTGTCCATGGTCTTGTGTATAAATAAGAAAGAAATTAAGAGTAGAAGGTTGTATTAGAAAGAAACGAGTAAGATTTTGTTGTTGTAATAAACAAATAAATGAAAGCAGGTTGCTATTTCTTGCATGTAGCCCATAGAAATAAGAAGAAAGATCAGAGAGTAAGAAACAACCAGCTCAAATGGAGGTTGTGGTTTTCCACGACAGAAGTTTGATAATGTCCATGTGGCATTTCTCAGCATTGAAAGTTTAGCATGTTCATTCAACTGAGCCAATAAAGGCATTAATGCACCTTGACCTAAGACAAGATCACGACATTTTGGTGAATCTCCAGCAATATTCCCCAATGCCCAAACAGCCTAGAACAACAACAAAAAAAAAAAAGGTGGTTATAAGTAAGAAACAGATTCCACCATATCTAAGGAATGGAATGGTTCCATTCCATTCCATCCAATCAAACGTATCCTAAATGATGATTTCAAGTCCACATGTTACCTGTTCACGAACATCATCACTTGGAGAAGCAAGAAGCTTTACAAAAATTGGAACTGCTCCATGATCAATTACCACCTTGGTATTCTCAGAAGTGCCAGAAGCTATATTTGTGAGTGCCCAAGCAGCCTCAAACTGTTCAATGTCAAAGTCAAGATAAAAGTCAACTAAACAACCAGAAAAGATGCAAATTTTATAGGACTCATACCTGAAGCTGTGGAAAATCCTCCCTCATTAGGAACTCTACAAACCTAGGCACAACTCCGGATTGTATAACTTCCTCAATTGGTGGACTCCTTTCTGTGATAAAAATATATGATGATTTGTATGCATAAATGCATAATAATTAATACATCGAAAAATGATATGTAAAACATTGTTTATACCTATAGAGAGCAATTTACGAAACTGGGTAGTTGCCTCTAGCTGCATATTGCCATCATTTGAATAGACTCCAGCAACCATTGAAGGAAGACTTTCTAACTGCAAGTTGATCAACATCATTTTAACAGTTCAACAAAAACAAGCCTTTCACCCAAAAAGCAAAAATAAAAAGGTAAAACCCTAGGTCGTGAAAACAAGAATGTCCTTCCACGCTTTTGTGAACATGAATTCCATGAAATTAGATAAGCAAGGAAGAATCACAAGCATTGATGGTATAATAAGATGATCATATGCATCTGTGTATACGTGATAAAAGTTCAATACTTCAAGCCTACTTAATAAACAATAATTTATATTGTCAACTCATTTACAGTATAATCATATTCGTATTTTGAGATGCAGGTGTTGAATAATTTTATGTACTCAGTGTAAACCTAGAAAATTAACAGTTTCGACTGCTCCTTCTGACTAAACAAGACACATCGATCCAATCATCATCGAACTAGATCAAACCATGTTAGTTGGAAGTTCAATTGTACGGAAGGGAAATGAGACCTTTTTCTCGATTGTGGCGGTTTGAATAGGAGCACCAGCAGCCAGCGGCTGTGCCGACGGCTGTACTTGACGCTTCTTAAGCAAGTTCTCCTCTCTCTTGTTTTTACGGATCTCAACCATATTGTCCTCCCTCCTCCGCCTCCCTTCCTCCGCATCTACGGCCACCTTGTACCGGTTCCGGCGAACCTCAGTCCTGGCGTTTGGCCTCAGAGACATGATTAACCGGTGATCGAATTCAACTCAAAACCGAAACCCTATGATTACAAATACAGAAGCAAAATAATTGATGAATATGTGATAATGAAAAAGTAGGAGCGATCGAACTGACTATGATCAATTTGGATGACTACACTCTGGACTCTAGAGTGTTCTAATTTCATATATTGGTCCTTCAACTTTGAAACATTTTACCCTAATGGTACCGCTATTTGACCTTTTACCTTTCGGTTTTTTAACTATTATGGCAAAAGAGTTTAAATGATCATTATATTAATGAAGGTTATTTTGGGTTAATATATAATCAACTAATTACATTTTATTATTTTTATCAATTTATGTAATAAAATAATTTCGTACCTAAGTTATCATGATTTGATTTTTTCTTATTGATTTCAATAATTATTGTCATATAATAATTATTGTCATATAATGCTTATATAAATTACTATTCAAATAAGCATGTTTTTTTGGAACCAGAAAATATTTTATTAGAAAAATAACTCACGCCTAACTAGTAGCTAAACGGAGCACATAAGATATACAAGTACAAAGATACAAAATTTCAATGTTTAGAAGGGTAATCATCGACCCATGTTAGGACACACACACCAATCAACCCATTTATACTGACATTGGGATCTCCGATGTTTAATCCAAGTGAAGGATAATGATTTAACATTATCCGCAACCATTATCGGGGGAATCCGTAACTGCTTGAAAATTCTATCACATCTCGCCTTCCAAATTAACCAAAGGAGATCGTAATTAGGTCCTTCTTCTATATTGGACTCCCGATCCAGTTCCCAACAGAAACGATAAAATCAGCCACCGAATTGCCCAGAGGGATGTCTATATTACACTACCGAAAGGTCCATTCCCATACCTCTTTCGCAAAAGGGCAGGTCATCAAAATATAATCTGCATCTTCAACCCCACAGGAGCAGAAGTTGCACACCGAGGAATGAAGGACCACACCCCTGCTTATAAGAGCATAAGCAGACGGGATTCTACCAAGATGGGCACGCCAAACAAAACATAATATTTTTATTGGGACTTCATGAATCCAGTCTATGCAACGGGCACTCGGTTGTGCACAAGACCTGTCAATCACATGCCTCAACACATTCACATAATATTCCCCATCGCTGGATAATTTGCACAACCAATGATCGCGCAATGTCGATGGTTGAAAGTGACCAATCCTATATAATAAGGACGCCAAATCCTGGACCTGATCATCGCTGAGTTGGGACGTAGACCAATTCCATGAAAATCCGCCAAGCCTTATCCTATTTGCTACCTTGCACTTCTTGTTACGATCCAGATCATATAATCGAGGGTAGGTTGTTTTAAAAGTTTCAGCTCCACACCATAAGTCCTACCAAAATAACGTTTCATCCCCTGCACAAACCTTCTTAACGAATACATCATCAATGCTGATTCCCATTTTTTGAAGTTCAATTGGAACTCTTGCGATATTGTTCCAAACACCTGATAACGACCTTTTCGAAATTTACCCAACTGGTTTGTTTTTTAAATTGTGTATGCCTTTGATCGTGATACCCCAAAGAGACGATACACCCGTTCTAAGCCTCCACCACCATCTGGTAATCAGAGACAGGTTTAAGGCTCGCAAGGATCCAATTCCTAACCCGCCTAATTCTTTAGGTGCTATTATATTTTCCCATGCAACCCAGTGTATCTTGTGATTATCCTTAGCACCTCCCCAAAGAAAGCGTCTTTGAATTTTCTCGAGTTCATTAATGACACCAATCGGGGCTACAAACAGGGAGAAGTAATATAGGGGGAGATTACCAAGCACCGCCTTAATCAATGTTAGCCTCCCACCAAATGAAAGAGTACGGGCCTTCCACAAGGAGAGTTTTGAGTGAAATCGATCTATGATAGGTCTCCAATGTTTTTTGAGGTTCATATTTGCCCCTACCGGCACCCGAGATTGTGGAATGGGAGGGAAGCCGCCTCACAGCCAAGTAAAGATGCCCGACGATTAACATCGGTCGGGTCCACACCAATCCCAAAAACTTTTGATTTTTGGAAGTTTACTTTTAGACCATATACAATGTGAAAGCAGCGAAGAATGCGAGCTAGGTTCTTAATGTTAGCACGTAGCATTGCTCCATTCGCCAACGAATAAGGCATCATCTGCATAGAACAAGTGAGAGATGAATAGGTCTGAGTTTGGGATTTTGATCCCAAATCAATACATTAAGCTTCAATTAAAGGTTTTGTCACAACCTACACTTACCAACAAAACATTCAATTTAAATAAGAGGCACATGAATCACAAGCAAAAAATTTGGTCTGTTCAATTTCGGTTTTACAATAACATATTTAGATCAGAAGGGTCGAAGGTCCAAACTGGCCTAGCATCAAACGAAAAGTTAGTCAATGTGTCTTGTTTATATTCATTAATTATGTTTCAGTTGCTTTTGGTCCTTTCTTGTAAAACAAACGTTACTAACTGGATACATTATAAAGTTTATATATGTTATTGATTTCTTGTACTTTATTGCTTATGTATAAGATATTAAGTATTACAAGATTATTTTATTATTTGATGCTTTGTAGAAATAAACGAAATTTCAAACACTAAAAAAATGACAGCATCCAAAATACAAAAGTCATAAATTTTACATGAATTATAACTTAGAGTACTAAAATTATAAATATAAGAAACAGCGCAATCCAGTTGGTCTTTAACTTGTCTCATCGGTTCTATCCCATCTACAACGGGATTAAATAAATAACTAATTTCTTAGCAAACAAACATTACAATGGTTTCAATAGTAAAGCATACGTTTCTTGGGCTTAAATAGATACCTAGACTGATACGTGGAATGATACACATCCCCTAGAAGCCTAAACTGCAATATCGCAAATAAAATCACCGGAATAGAAGCCAAACCCGCCACAACGATAGGCACCCATTTCAAATGCTTGTTATAAAGCACAAAAAAACTTGCACCAAAAGCAATCATCATAGTCACGATCGAAAGAAAAAGTGCTGCAAGACCTAACATCAGCTTTTTGGGTAACGATTCCAAGAAATCACGTTCAGCATAACGAGACGTGAGAATGGATAAGAATATGAGCACCGAAGTGGAAGAGAATATTAAAGAAACCGCATCTGCAATCACAAAGATAATGAGTGTTGGTTTTTGTCGGAAAAAAGGAATGCCGCTGTTTTGGTTGTAACCGCCGGGGAGGGTAAAAGCAGCGGCAAACACGATGGTGGCGATGAGAGTTGCCACCACCATACACTGAGCAGCGGTGTTCTTCATCCAATCTTCGCCTTTGGTAACGAGTGTTTCATGTTTTTTGGTGAATAAGTCGTGTGGTGTCTCCCCCTGAGTGTTCTTTCTTTGTCTGTAATTAGGTGGGATCATACGCTCGACTTCCTGCAACACATACATATCATTAGGGCGATCCCAAGGAATTGAATATCCTTAAAGACCCGGAACAACCTAGATAAAAAGAGCCCTTGTCGTTATTATAAGTTTTTATTTCTAAATAAATAAATAAATAAATAAATATATATATATATATATATATATATATATATATATATATATATATTTTTACACGTGATAACAACATACTATTATTTCACTCACAATAACAACGTATTTGCATTTTATCAACGACATGACCAATGTACTTAATTTGTTACATATTGTTATTATCGGTAAATTAATGCAAGTGTGTTGCTATTATGGGTAATGAATTGCAATTATGTGTAAGAAAATGTAAATATATTGCCATCATGAGTTATATATATATATATCTATCTATATATATATATATATATATATATATATATATATATATATATATATATATATATATATATATATATATATATATATATATATATATATATATATATATATTGCTATTGGTAAAAAGAAAAGTGCAAGTATGTAACATTAAGTCAAAAAGAAACTCATACCTTGAACCATAATAACTCCCGTTGCATTTGTAGAGCGACTCCTGACACGTTCTGAAATCGTTTCGGCTTAGCACTCTTGGCAACTAAATGCAACATGTTATTCCCATTTTTGTCCTTAATAGGAGTAATTAAATCTTTCATTGAGCCAATCTCATATAGCAAATTATAGATCTTTGCTTGACGACGTTTGATAGCGATGTGAAATATAGTTTGCCCTTTGTCATCAACCTTCCAAATTAGGTCGGGATATGACTGAATGAGCTCAATTATAAACCTTATGTTGCCCATTTTCGCAGCAGTAAAAAGTACTCGGGAAGGGTAGCTTCTCATTATACCTCCCTGATTTTTAACTTCCATAGGTGGCCCACGGATTATGTCATCAATCTCGCTCTTGGGCATTATTGCAATTTTTTTCCAAAGTATTCTTAATAATTGCAGGGCTTCACTTTCCTTTTCTGTAAACCCTACCTTCACATGAAAGACTGCAAAAACTGAAAGCAACAACCAAAAATATCTTTTGTAGGAATTAGTCAGTTTCGGTTATTATTTATTTCTAACGGGTTAAAAGGAAGAAAGAAGTAAGAAAAAATGAGCAAAATGCAAAACTGGTCAAAGAGGTAAGAAGTCACTAAAAGCATATTTAGATGCATACTTCTTAAATCCATTTATTTAAAAGATATAGATTATCATTGTAATAATATTATCATTTTCGAAACCATATTTGTTATAGGATTTATATATAAAAAAATCCGAAAAGGAATGAGAAAAGTAATTATTCTTGAAAAAATCATGCTCTAATATCCTTCTGTTAGTTAAAGAACATACATGAACTTCTTAAATCAATGATGTTAAAGCATTAGAGGGATATCAAAAGTATGTCATTCTATTATTTGATATAATAACAAAGAAAGGGTTATTATTCTTGGTATTGTTAGTGTCGTTAAAACAAATTGCATATGACTAGCGAGCATACTTACTTGACTTGATGTTTCTCACTAAAATATGTGGTTTTCTCTGTTTAAATGCACGAGTCTTTTGAGCCAAAAAAATGAGTACATTTGTTAGTAGTCCCTTTTTGGCATAGAGTTCGGGGCGATCATTCACTATTTTTGTGGCGACATCTACAAAAGATTTGTTTCATTTAATGAGAAAATTCTGTTGGTATATGCATAATAAACTAATAATCAATCATCAATCGTAAAGATAAAAAATGAAGCTTTCCAAGGAAAATCACAATGTTACCAAAAAAATCTTTTTCTAGTTATGGAACATTATACCTATGACCCTAAAATTGTAAAGAAAAAAAAAAGAGAATGGGTAAGAAATAGCAACGTACTTTCATTGATTTGTTTCCCACATCATTCTACTTCGTTTCATCTTATTCCGAAATTGTACTTTGAAAATTTTATCCAATTATAACAGCGTCACCCAAATACAAAACAATTTTCATTGCTATAATCGGATATCTTCTTTAAGTATGATGTCTTTATAAGTAAAAAAAATGAAAGTACAATGTTATAATTGGGTAGATTTTTAAAAATATAATGCCTCAATAAGAAAGATATTGGTAGTCCAAAGTTGTAAAAATTTGTATTAGATTGAAACCAAAGTAGGATGCTATAATACACAAATAGATAAATGTATGATACAATAACAAGAAGACAAGACTTTTGTAAAAACAAGTTACCAAAGATATCAGATTCAACACATTTTTGTAGAAGCCAACCCCGATTCTCATGACTCCAATAATCACCCGACAATCCATTAGAATTATGATAGAGATATCTCACCATTTCGGGTTTTGCAAATAAAGCAGCCACATAGAGTGGCATTGTTCTATTACTACCAGGGATTTCCATCACAGCTCTGTTCTTTTTCACCATTATCATTGCTATTTTCACGTTTCCTGCTGCAGCTGCTAAACCAAGGGCAGTATTGTAACTTTTATTTTGTAGCTCCAAATCATTCTTTTCCATCAAATTCACTAAATTTTCCACAAATTCTTCCACGGCTTTGGTGCTTTCTGCTGATGCTGCAATGTGAAGGGGTGTTTCGTAATTTTCAGTGATAGCAAAACGTATCAATTCTGGTTGTTTGTCAAGGATGGGTTTTGCAGCTTTCCAATTGCCTATGATCGATGCTTCATAAAGTGGAACACCAATATTGATGTAGTCTTCTCTACTTCCTTCAAATTAAGCATTTTCAAAAAGGAGGTTAGAATTACATCTACCCAATCATTAGGATACTGAAGAAGATATGAAGCACGAGAGTAGTTGAATATTATAATCCAATGCGTGGGAAAACAAAACAAAACCACAAAATTCAAATAGGTTAATGAAAACGACCACGCAAAATCCATACCAAATTCCAAGAAACTGACAGATTTCACTTTACTTTATTTGAATTTTTCACGTTGCATAGAGATGGAGTAGCGTTTTGTAAATTATCGCTAAATGGCGTGTGTTCAACTTATACTTGTCCTACCTTCAAGTAGATCTGATCGAGGTAGATTCGGTGGTGGCACTGGTGGAGGGACAATCGGAATGGCGATTTCGTTCTGTTGATGTTTTGGAGTTGCGATATTCATCTCTCCGGCTGCTTACGTCCCTACAATGGAATCACAAAAACATGAAGTCACCAGTCGATGGATTTGAAGAATAAAAATACCTGAGATTCTTGAAGTGTGAATGTCTGATGCTCCACTTTGAAGCAACCTTCATCTTTTTTTTTTCTTATGAAAAAGGAGAGTAATGGGTTTTACGGGTGTTGTTAACGGTACCATATAAGTCGAATTGTCCGACAAATTTATTACCTACAAAAGAACCGTTAACCATGAAATACACTAGTGGTCCTTCATTTAAATACTAATTTTTGTTTTTCACCCTTTCAATTTTAAAATTTTCAAATAAATACATAACTTGTTAAACGCATAAAAATTATTGACACCATAAATACACTTATTATTATATTTTTATTTCTTTATGTATATATATATACTTATTTTTATTTCTTTATTTTTATTTAAAAACAAAGTTATATATATATATATATATATATATATATATATATATATATATATATATATATATATATATATATATATATATAAAATAAAAATATCATCTCATCAAAAACAATAGCACACACAAAACATTTAAATAAGTGTCACCCATGTTACATGTTACGAAGGTGTTGCACCTTATAGAATTTTTTTTTACATTGCATAACTGAATTGAATAGTGGCCCAATACCCCTCAGGCTATACATAGATCCACCAATATACAAGAGAGAACCAACATTTTTGATGGATTACTCTTGTTGGTGGATACACACATTTAGGTGCTGTTTGATTTTCTGAAGCAAAAATTCATGAAGTCTGCGGATCACCTCTGCAACCCTCTGCAGTAGAAGAGGTGGACCAAACGGCTGCAGACTATAATAAGAAGCGTGTTTGTTTTTTTAACATCTGCATACTGCTGCAGATATTAAAAAATTAAAATAAACTAATTTTATAAACCGAAAATAGCTTTTTAATACGTAAAATTTAATAATGTATAACATTTCGGTAAAAATTAATGATATTTCAGTAAAAAAGAATGATATTTCAACAAAAAATAAAGATATTTTCAGTAAAAAATAATAATATTTCATCAAGAAATTATCATTATTGAATATAAAAAAAATGAAAAATCAATTCAATAAGAATAAACGAAAAAAAAGGGAAAAAATGTGAAATAAAATTTTAATAACATATAATCAAAATTTCAGCAATAAAAAAAGAAGAAGAAGAGGTTGGAAGAGGCAGTACAAGTGTTGCGCCAAACAGAGCACGCGCAGAGGTTTTTGACTCAGAAGACTTCTAAAAAACAAACAGTTGTGAGATGAAAAGTGTTGCGCGTGTGCTGCGCCGCGCAGCAGTAAGAGGTTTGAAGAGGTTTTTTCCAAAAAACAAACAACACCTTATATTAGCAATAAAATATAAAATTTAACAAAAGTTTAATTTATTTATATTAATCATCATATATCTCATATATCTCAATTGATTGCATATTAAAATTATTGGGATGTGTATTTATTGGAATGTACATTCTGATTTATAATTACACAAAAATGCTAGACATTAGATATTTTCATTGTAAGTCAACCTCAATATATTTAATTTATATATTGTTTATTATCAATTTTTAGACTGTATTAAATCCTCGTAGATATAGTGTTTGGCATAACATACAAAAAACATATTTTATAATATTATATAAATTTTAAAAGTATATAATGTGTAATTTGAAACTATTTTAACAAATGATACACACACATACACACATATATATATATATATATATATAATATATATATATATATATATATATATATATATATATATATATATATATATAACATAATGAAAACTGTTTATATATGGGTATAATATAAAACATTTATACAAATTAAAAGGGTTATATAGGAAATATTTAAAATGAACAGTTACAAATCAAAATTTCTATCAATCTATGAATCTACCTCTTCTAATAAACAAAACTTATAATTGACCACATGTCCCCTTTCTACATTGCACACTTGCCACGTGTCATCTATTCATTTAATCATATTTTCTAAATTTCAAAAAATTTATAAAACACAATAAATCTTAAAAAATCGTATAAACTGCATAACTCTAGGAAAAATCCCGATTTTTTTTTCATCTTTATCATTTTCGGATCATATAACATTCAAATTTCAAATTAAAAATCCATGTTATTTTGGAAACAATAACAATTTGCATTCAATTTCATTGACTGGATATCTTATCTTTTTTAGATTGTTTTCAATATTTAAATGAATCCCAAAAAATCAGGAATTTCAATATAATATTATAACTCCATTTATATTCTGCTTTCTCGTCTTCAACATCCATTCTCCTCTTCAATATTACAATTTCTGCATCTGCATTCTGCACGCTGTCGACATAACAAATCTGGTGAGTTCATCTTCATAACTCAAAATTTAAAACCATTTTGTGAAAATATATTAATACCAATGTAACTCTGTTTGCTAAGAAAATTTGTTATGAAATGATTATTCGCAATTTGTGTTTTGATATTCTTTGATGTTCTTTGAAGTTTTATCTTCATGTTTTTGTTTGACATAAAATGTTCCCAGGGGTATTTTAGTTTTTTATTGACGTTTTTTACTTTCGTTTTTTGTGTTTTGTTTTTCTATGAAATGTGATAGGTTGTTAATAAAAATGTACCCAACAACAACAAATTGATGATCAGTATGATTGTTAATGATCAACAATGTTGATATTGTTTTTGTATTTGAATGTGTGTGTTTTGATGTATAGATTACCAACTTGGTGATAAATTTTATATTGAAAGTTCTAGCATTAGCATTAAATACCACTCTGGTCATTTTATTTTTCTTAAAATTCAAACATATATATATATATATATATATATATATATATATATATATATATATATATATATATATATACTTTTTGGATGATTCAAGTTGATAAAGTTATGGTGATTTTAAGTTATTTTTGTTTTTGTTTATTTTTTTTGCATATAATAGCATCCTACTTTTGTGTGTGTGTGTTTTTACTTTTGTTTTTTCTAGAGGGCAAAATGGGCAGATGGGTGACATTTTCAAGGTTGTATTAGATAGAAAATGGTCCCAAATGTATTTTAGTCTTTAATTACTTTTTTGTTTTCTGTTTTGTCTAACAAATAACTTATTTATCCATACATCATTTATAAGTACTTTATGTAATTAATCATAACATAAGTTAAAAGTTCTTTTAGTGGAATCAATTATGTTTACCTTTTTGTTCATTTTGGTGATTTTTAGTTACATCACATTACTCAGTAAACTAATAATTTCAGGATTTATGGCTTTCAGTTTTTATATAATTGATATTTTTTTTATTTTATAATTTCGTTGTTCATCTTTATATATCAAGTAAACTTATTATAGTTTATATATGCTATATCAAGTGAACTATCCCCTCAAATATCTAAAAGAAAACTTTTTATTTGTTTTTTCAGTTTTGGTAAATAAAAAAATTGATACCAATACAGCTATAGAAATAAAAATAATCGAATAGACCGATAATTTTAACCTTTTAGTTTATTTTGGTGATTTTATGTTATTTTTAAGTTTTTTTTTGTTATATATGCTATTTGTTGTGTTGGACAGAAAATCGTCTCAGTGGTATTTGAGTCTTTAATTGGCTTTTTTGTTTTCTGTTTTGGCTCTCAGTTTTTATATAAGTGATTTTTTTTTTTTTGAATTTTGTTGTTCATCATTATATATCAAATAAACTTATTATAGGTTATATATGCTATTTGTTGTGTTGGATAGAAAATCGTCCCAGGGGCATTTTAGTCTTTAATTGACTTATTTATTTGTTGTGTTGGATAGAAAATCGTTATATAAGTGATTTTTTGTTGAATTTTGTTGTTCATATTTATATATCAAATAAACTTATTATAGATTATATATGCTATTTGTTGTGTTGGACTAGAAAATTGTCTTAGGGGTATTTTAGTTTTTAATTGAGTTTTTTGTTTTCTGTTTTGGCTCTCAGTTTTTATATAAGTGATTTTTTTTTTCATCTTTATATATAAAGTAAGCTTATTATACATTACATATGCTATTTCAAAATTTTGAGGGGATAGAGTAAATACAAGTTGTAATATTTATTCTCATTTCATTGACTTTTCTAATTATTTTTACAGATATGGCTACTTCAAAGATTACATTCATAAAAGACATTGACCTAATCAATTCGGATGTCACTATCAAAGTGAAAGTATTGAAGTTATGGACGCTCAATTCTAAATTTAATGATAACGAAAAGTACTCCATTGAAACGATTTTATTGGATGAACAGGTATATTCTTATTATTTTCCAAAAAAATATTGCATTTTATCATTCATTTTTTATAAATATCTTACATGATTACAATTTGATAATGTTGTCTTCTATAATGCTTAGGGATCTCTAATTCAAGCTAATGTTTTCCAAAACTTATTTTATAAGTTTGAAGAAAAGTCTTCGTGAGGGATTCGTTTATGAAATTACCACCGTATAGGTTGCAAAACACAATCCACATCCGAAATCTACCATCTTTTCTGATCTTCCAAATAAAATAACCTTCGTAAGGGAAACAAAACTTAAGAATTGTCTTGATTTCCCGAAAAATGTTTTCGGATTATCTTTTGTGGATTTTTAGAAAATTAATTCCAAGGTTATCCCAACCCAAAGATCTGTTGGTACGTTTTCATTTATTTAATAAATACTAATTATTTAATAGTCTGCCTAACATTATTTACTAATTTTATATTAATACACAATGAATGTCATAGATGTTATTGGCGTGGTTGTCTCCCGTACTACTATTATCCCCTCTCAGAAAAAAGACAAGCAGAGAATCCATCTTGAGCTCAAAAACTTAGAGTTAGAAAAATTTCAATTTGAATATTTGTTATTTATTATAATTTTTTATCACTTAATCTATAAATGTGTGTTTTTTGAGTGGTGTACTACTTAAGATCACTTTGTGGGGTCATTTTTCCAACAAAGTTTTTGATTATCTTGACAATCATAACACTGATGATTGTGTTGTTATAATTGTGCAGTTTGCAAAAATAAATGATTATAGAGATTTGTCACATAATAATTGTCAATTTATTTCTTATTATAAATATCTTTATAACATTTATTATGCTGTCTATAGGTAATATCGGTGTTGCAAGTTAATATGATGTCACAACTGCCTTCATCAACACTGATATTGA